GGGAGAGGGAAATGAGGGGGTGGAGAGAAAGAGGGAGGGAGAGGCTGAATTGTTTCTAAGGTTTTTTTCTAGCTTGACAAATTTATGATTACTTGCACATTTTTTTTGATTCTACTCTAAGCCTGAGTTTAGCAAAATGTTTCATATTTTACCTAATAAGCACTGACTTCCCCAAAGCACTGGTATTAACGCTTTCTCACATTCTTTTGGCAGTACTGGAGATTGAACCCAAGACTTTCACACTGAGCTACAGCCCCAGTCCTTTTTTAAAATTTTTCAGACAGGATCTTGCCAAGTCCCTAAGGTGCCCAGGCAGGCATGAATTTGTGATTCCCCTTCGTGAGCCTCTCAGATTACTGGGTTTGCAGGTGTGTGCCACCTGTAATTATGGATGTGTGCTACCACACCCAGCTTTTTACACATGTAAATAAGAAAGAAAGTCAACAAGTTGTGTACTTTGTCCCTTGGAAGGAATTCTGCTTCCATACAACAGTTATACAACTCCGTAATAGAGAGTTAGTAATGAATCCATTTTAGCACAAGCTATGCTTCACATATGGGGACTGCACAAGGATTCCACATTTGCCCCTTAGGCTCTCAAGGAAGCTTTAGGGTTTGAAGTGACAACTTTGAGGTGCTTGACAATGGATCACAGCCATTGTTCCCCGTGCCTTGGGTCATTTCTGTACCAGACAGGGATCCTGGATGAGAGGTCACCGACTTCACACTGATGTTCCTATGGACATAGAGAATGCTGAGAGAATAAATGGATGTTTGTAGTCACTGAATTTTCTCCCCTTAGTGTAGATATACTTATTGTTAAAATTTTGGAAATTAGTAGCATATAGGTAGAAAATGCTGTCAGTCCTCACTAGTGGTTATGTGTTAGAATTCCATCTAGGATGATTAAAACTCCAAGTTTTGGAAGTCTGTGGAAACATGGAGATCTGAAAAAGATTGGCTGCATAAAATTAATCTCTCTACAATTCAATGGCAAGATAGAGGTGGATTTTGAAAAATACAGTAAACTTGTAAAATTGAAATGCACTGCAGGATTCATTGTGAATGCTTAGGAAAAGGTAGCATTATCTCTCAAAACCAGTGCAATTCCATGCATATTAACTTCATTTTTATGGTTGACAGAGTTGTGTATTAGGATCTGAGTTTCTGGTATATTAGATGGAATATTTCTTGGGAACAAGTTAGAGAAATGTGAGGTTGTAGTAAAGTGAATTTATGTATACTGAACAGTTGTATCACAAGCATGAGTGTTGACAAGATTCTGGAGGACCTGGAACATATGGAGATATGAGGAAACATCAACTTTGGAAAAGAAAAAAATCATTTTCCCCTTTCCTCAGTAAGCACAGATATGGCATCTTTTTAAAAACACTTTAAACAGGTCTGTTATTAAAGAGTGATTAGACATTCCTTACATCTCAAGTAGGATAATTTGAGATTAGGGAGGCAGGATTTTCTTAATGCAAAGAAGAGATTTCTGTCAATAGAATGGGCTGTATTTGGGGCAGCAAATTTACTTTCACATTTAAGCAGAGGCTGGAAACCAACCTGAACATTGCCTAGTGGTTACTTGCATTGAAAGGAACCATCATTTCTTCTGCTTCTTTCTAAATGTTTAGATGTTAAGTTTGAAGAAATAAGTTAATGGTCAGACAGCAGATGAATATCTTTGTCTTTGTCATTATGGCTAAAGGAGTGTATTTTTTTTTCACACAGAAAAGGGTTACATTCCTAAGTGGTCTGAATTGAAAATGAAACAGGAATGAGGAAACCTAAAGACCACGAATAATAAGAATTTCTTAAAAGCATTTCATTACATTATATAGGACTTAAAAAGGGGAAACACTGTGGGTTCTTTTGGGCCTTTAAAATGCTTTTTTAATACAAAAATATTCACATATAATTTAATTTTAAATCAAAAAACAAAAATGTTTCTGAAATTCATTCAATCAATTCAATCAGAATTATGAGTGCCATGTAATTGGGACCATGAATACTACATTTCTCTCATATTCTAGGTTCAGTTTTTCTGAAAATCTGATTCCTTTGCAAATGTATGTAAATATTTTCTCAGGTGTCAAAGTTATTCATGTGTTTTCCTTTTCCTTCCTGGTCAGATTACTGAAGATCTTGGTTTCCAGTTTAGGCAGTTGGTGGATTTTAGACTCTTTTGATTAGGTAACCTATATTAAGAAATACAGTTTATACCATATCCCAGGATCTTTCATATATTAAAACAAATCATATATTTGAGAAATAACACATGTCTATGGGCTAGAATAACAGTCTGAACATTTTAATTCAATTCAATCTAATACATTAATAAATATTGATCATGTTCCACTCATTTCACAGAACTTTTGGGAAAAACACCACTCCAGTCAATCATTATTGAAAACACAAAAGAAAAAAATAGCAGAATAAATGAGAAAATTCAGGTATTCTTACTTTAGGACATTTGATACACTTGCTACAGAAAGATTTTTTTGCAAATATATTGTATAAAAACTCCTGGGTATCAATGCATTACACATTTTTATTTAGTTTCTTTCATCCTGTCTTTTTAGTCCTCCCCATCTTTCCATAGCAAACCACACATCCCTACAGCCTCTTGAAGCATAAAAGCCCATGAGAGAGATAGAGAGATAGATTGCTTTTGCTTTGTGTATCTTACTAACGTACATCTGCAGAAGCAAGTTTTAGCCTAAAGCATGTCTGTTTAGGAGCACATTCAGGTGACTGCCATGATAATGGAATTGTGGATACACTGCTCAGAGCGCTTGGGTAACCATTCTTTTATTATCAGGATGGAAATTCAGTTTTTAAGATCAAAGTGGACACCTCCTGAAAGTTACATTTATTACAAAAGGCTGAAGTGTCTACATTTGTAGGCATCAAAGGGACTTAAAGCAGAAAGACAGTAATATTCAATAGACCCATGTAATTTTTGACAGGACAGCAACCACCTAAGCAGGTGACAGAAAAAAGTAGGAATCTAATTCTGAAAGTTACCAATTCTGTCAGCTTTGGAGTTAAGCAAAGTGCTTGATATTGTGATAGCCACAGCCAGGGTCCTCCTGACATAAAGTGTGACCATCAGGGCAGGCACTGAGAATACTTTTATAATTTTCACCATTGGAGAGTCCTTTGGTAGCATTTTGATCTCACTGATTCAGAAAGCAGGGCCCCACTCTGCTATCACAGTGGAAGTAAAGTAAAAGGTCATTATAATCAGTCAATATTACAGTGGTTGGAAAGTCATCATGGATGAATTCTAATGCTTAAAACATACTAACCTCAGGTAGCAGGAATCATACTGTGGCTGTTCTAGTGTTAGCTACCAGGTAATTGCAGCTTTGCTGTCTTTAGGGCTCTTTTGCATTTCTGTTTCCTACCCTGTACTTTTTAAAACAATTGAAACCATTTTTTAACTTTTATTTTTCTTATTTATTTTTTAAATTTTAGATATAAAGTTGTATATATTTAAGGTGGACAACATGTTTTGAAATATGTACACATTACAGAATGGCTAAATCAAGCCAGTTAGTATGAGGAACATCACACTCACTTACTATTTAGTCTGCTTTCAGCCCTTTTGCTTTTCAAGTGGTTACCTTCAGGGAAGTCTGAGGAACATCCTTCATCTGGACCCACTTCAAATGCTCAGTAGAAACTATCTTATTTATATAACTAAAAGACTTTTCTGGTTATTTTGAATATTCATGACATTTGGCCAACGCATACTGGGGACTAATAAAGGTCCAACACTATTCTTTTGAAAAACTTTGGAGTATTAAGCCAGAAAAACTCCAACTCCACAAGCTCTGGCTATTAAGTGAAATTGCTTTATTTTAAAAAAGAAATGACTTCCCTCCCATTTTCTCAGCAAACAACTCTGAAATCCTCTGTGCTTCCCCAGGAGTTCATCTTTCTAGAAAGTGAAATTAGAGGATTCATGGTCCTGATAATTAGTAAATGTTTATTGAAATGTAAAGTGTTAGTGTCACAAAAATGGCTATTGTACTCCATAGCTTCTTTTCTGCAAACTTTTAAGACCTATGATCATTATTGATGAAAACACAACATTGATTTGAATACATTTTAAAAAGACTTTTACGGAGTGGACAAAGCCTTGATCACAGATATCTTTCCCATACTAATAAAAATAATAGCTTTTAAATTATAAAGATTTTAATGAGATGAAAGGGCAGAGTATGTGGAATAGCTCTAATATACCTTGGGCGACCTCTGCTCTCACTGCTGGAAAAATTTCACCATTGACCATTAATGTAGTAAGTCTTATTTCCTTTTCTTTTTCTTAAAATGTGCAATTCTCTTGGCCACAATGAAGCATAAAGAACTCATTTTGTAAAAATTAATCAATGTATTATTGTTATAAATTCTTCTCTAGTATTAAAATTATGGCAAGATTATTACAGATTATTTACTTAGGATGTAACATTTTAATTGAATTTCCCAGGTTTAAATTACGGAAAAATTTACTCTATTATATAAATGCTATTCTATAAACTCTATTATATAAACGATTCCCAAAAGGATGTAGAATGTAAGCTTTATATTTTGGTTATATTTTATATCAATCCTCTTTTAATATTCCTTTAGGGAAAAGTTTAAAAAAAAACAAACAGAACTGAATACAAGAAGACTTCCTAAAAGGGGAACATGCAGTCCTTATCTCTGTATTTTCTGTTAATGCTACATTTTCCTGATTCTTTGTATCTACACACAGTTTCTCATATGCTTGTCAAAGTTTGAGAAGGAATGATCTGTGCATTCAGCAGAACTTGGAATTTTCTACAGCTGGTAGGTCTGACCTTTCTCTGGGGTTGTGCATATTGTTACCACCTGCTTTATTCCATCTTATCAGAGATAATGGTCCTCATGGGTCCCAGGTTTGACGTGCCTGGAATGAGTTACCTGCCCTCTCTCCCTTGGCCCCTTGCTCGGCTGTTACTCACTCAAAAGGGTCGCTGGGATCGGCCCTCTGGAGCTCTGGAGGGATGGGTATTCTTTTGTAGTACATTTCCCAGTCGAAGGCTCCTCGCATGGCATCCCCAGCTTGTGCCTCATACCCAAAGTGATTGTGGTCAATGACATCGATCATGGGACACACGATGGTTTTGTGGTTTAGTGCAATTTGGTCTGAAAAATGAAAGCACAAAATAGGAAATGACATGCCTGCCTAGGTCATCTATCATTTTCCAGCAAAGAGAAGACTACAGATTGTTGCTAATGCATAATATTTGCAGCCTTGGCTCCCGGTCATCATTAGAGCACTCTGCAGGATTCTCTACTTGCTGGACTCAACATGCTGGGACGGTGATTAGGTACAATTAGAGTTGTGTTTTCCTTTAAGAAAGGTATGTCCCAGAGAGACTTCCAGAAGTCCATTTCACTCTACCTCTGTCACATTTTTGCTCTGTCCCCAATCTGTCATTTTATTGTGTATCCAACATGTGGGGAGTATAAACTGTACTTATGTTCCTTCAAGCATGGAGCTAGAGCCTGCTGAGAAAATACTGACCTGGTTTCTGGAGGTTCCAAAATGTCAATATTTAAGTTTATGTTTTTGTAGCATTTAATCTTATAACAGTCATGATGGCTGTACCTCTCTACATGCTGACAGATCATACATAAAATTCTTTGCTCTCAGGCTTGCTAGAGATTTTGTCCAGTCCTATTTTGCCACTGTTTATCAAAGTCATACAACTTTTGTCTGTTCTTGTCACATGTAAAAAAAGTATTAGGTGGCATGGTACTACTGCTATGACTCTTGAGCGACTACTAAGTCATTTATAGTCACGCTACTTCTAATACTCCTAGCAAGCCTGTAAGTAGCTATTCAGTAACAGCCATTCCCAATTTATTGAATGAGGAAACTGAGCTCAGAGAGGTTAAATAACTTGTTAAGTGTTGCTCAGGTTTTGAGAGGAATAACCAAGATGGGATCTCTGCCCAGCTCTAAAACTTGGCCTCTGTAGCTTGCTGTAGTGCTTCTCATTTCAGCTAAGAGATGATTTTTTTCCCCTTAAGTTCTGGCACCTTCTTTTTCCATGTAGATATCATTATTGTAACAACATTAACATCCAGCACAAGGAACTAGCACTCATATAGCACTCAAATAGCTATGCTTAAAGTACCTTTCTTTCCAAAATGTGCATTTAATCAATATGTATTATAACAAACCAATATTGTCTGACAGGCAGAACATTTAAGTGTGAACATCTGCGCTCTTGTTATTTGAAAAGACCTTTGGATATGACATGTGACATTTAAAAAAGATATCATTTAGAAATATTATAGAGGTTGGTTGTTCCTGAATCACAGTTTTCCCAGGGATCCCCAAGTAAATGAGATCTGTGTCAGGGATAGTTTTCACAGGAAGAGAACTGTCCATTTGCTTCAAAAGTTTCTGCTCAACATAGGACAGGAAAAAAGGGGCTTTAATGGCTGTAATAAAAATGGCCTTATTTTGGTGATGCTAGTAAAACAAGGTGTGAAAGCTGCAAAATCCAGTAGAAGATCTTTCAAATCTATGTCTCTTTTCATTCATTCATTTATTCACATCTTAGTCATTATTTACGGAGTAAAATCTAGGTGCCAGTCACTGTTCTAGGTTGTGGGGATATGGTAGTGATCAACACCACAAAAGTTACTGCCTTCAGCAATGGAGCAAAAACAATGAATAAATGTAATAAATAAATTCAATACTGTTTTAGAAGGTGATAAATGAGATGGAAGGAAATTAAAAGAGAGTAAGGAGCATATGGATTGCTGGGATTTGGAACAGATTGCAGTTTTCAGTAGATAGGATGGCCCCAGGAAGCCTCAGAGACCCTAGAGATTGTTTTTGTCTTATTTCAGCTAATTAGTAGATGGAGAGACCCTTTGCACTATTTCAAGTTAACCTCCACCAAATGGCTCTCTAAACATTCATTTTATCCTGGGCAAGCCTTATAATAGGGTTTAATCTTTATGTAAATGGTGTTCCCCAGAGATGTGCTCGACTGAGGAGACATCAAAATATTTCTTCTATCACCTGTACAGTTATTTTACTATTAAGGTTTTACTGACTTTTTTCAATCAAATTCAGAATCATGTTGATTTACAAGTTCCTTGACCAACAAGGAGTCCCAAGGTGACATTTCCCTAAGAAAATGAGCCTGTTAAATTAACTGTCAGCTTTCCCTTCAAATTTCCTTTCAGCTCTCATCCAGCTGTACTAGTTTAGGGTGAAAGCCGCATGACTAATTTTTCATCCGAGGCTTGTGCCTACTTTTCAATTTCCAGGGATCAAACAAACAGACTCTTAATAGGAAATTGAAATTCAGGTATAATCCCAAGGTGAAAAATGAACGAAGAAACTGTGTGGCTCCACCTGTTTTTTTCATTTTGGATGATATATTAAGACACTGATAGAGGAAAATAAAAAAAGATAGTGATCCTGAGCCTGCAGGAAATGAAATGCGTAATGAGAAAAAGTGGGTTATGGCTTTGTCTTATTCTCTGTTTTTGTCTTCTTCTTTTTCTTTTTATTAGATTCATAGTGAACAATCAGAGGCTCCATAATTGGCACTTAGATGTTGCTTTGGTTCATAAATAAATAAGGCCTTTTGCTGACTTCTTGTGTATTCAACACCAAATAGGTCAAATTCAGTTCTTGTTATTGCCCATGAAGCTCTAAATTGCTATGTTCTTGGACAAGGTACTTTTAATTAAAGGTGCAGAGGATCTCCAACTATAGGATCACTGAGACATTCTTGTCATTGAATGGCTGGGCAGTTGTGTGTGCAAGCCTATGCAGACTGAGTGATATAGTGGGAGGTACTAGTTGCTGGGTGCTCTCTGTGTTAAATCCTATACAGTTTCAGTTATCACCCCCCCCCCCCGCCCCCGTCCAATCTTTTACCAATGAAGCTTGGCTGCTTCTAGGTGAAATCTTAGCGGTCAATAGCAAATCATTCTGAGACAGCTGTTGTGAAGGCAGTTGCTACTTGCTTTAGTTCTGAGGCCAGGGATATATTTACAGTAAAAGCTGATTTGACAAAATCTGGAAGAATAGGAAGGAGTGCAATATATGTGTACCAAGAATTTCTTAGACTGACTTTTTACAATTATAGTTTAATTTTTGGCCACAAGCAGACTTTATATTGGACTTCATTGTAAAATAAGGACAAAAATATTGAAACTTAAATTGAGTCACATATTACACACTTACTTTTAATTTGTTTATGATTCTAACAGTTCAAGTGTGATGTTGCATAGTTTCTTTCTGTCTCTACTCTTAGCCATATAGTAAGCCTTTAAGACTTACCTGGAGAGCAGCTCAAAGTGTTTGGGGGGATTCTATTGAATATGGGAGATAATATACTTAGGGATATAGGATAGTACCAGAAGTAGAAAGAACAACAAAAAGAAGTGGTATTATAAATAAATGAGCTGAGTGTGGGGATGCACACCTGTAACCTCAGCACTCAGGAAGTTGAGGTAGGAGGATTGCTATGAATTTTTTTTTTTTTTTTT